ATGCTAGTTTACTTTATAAACTATGGTCTAAAAATGTTTCCTTACAAAAACTCGGGGTCTTGAAGTTTTAGGAAAAAAAAGAAATTAATTAATATTTTCAGAACCGTTTTCAGATGTTTCACTGATATTTAGTAGGTAGTGAAAGTTAATAAAGTTGCATATTTCTCAATGCAAAAATAATTTTTAGCTTTAACACTGGCGTGCGTACGGGTATTGACCTCGATATTTTTTTAAGAAAAAATGGTAAGCAAATGGTTTCTTGCGAAATAAAAGGTCTTTTTGGATTCTCCGTTCAATTTAAAATAAATGATCTCTCTTGATTTGTTTTCCTTCGATGCGCCATTTTTGAGTACATAAATAAAAACCGTTTCCGAGAAAATTAATCTAATAATTGAAGAATCGAATTTAGCAATAAATATCTAGTTTCTCTGGAATATGTCACTGGCTTTCGATATCTGACAAGTCTCTGTTATTCAAATCTGTTCGCTGTGACATCTTTTTCATTATTTAGTTTTTACAATCTTGTTAATAATGGTGAATTATTCAAAAGCAGAAATGGCGGAAACGCATTGCGAATATAGCCTTGCCGACGGTAATGGTGAGCAAGCCAGACGGATTTATCACCAGAGATATCTCGATCGTGCTTTGCCAGATAGTCGAACCATTTCTAATATTCATCGTCATCTTGTTGAAACTGGTTCTGTCCGAAAAGGAGCATCTGAAGGTAGACCTGTAAGTGTGGAAACACCTGAAGTTGAGGAAGCAGTGCTGCCTTAAGTCGAAGAACATCCTGAAACCAGTACGAAGAAGATCGCTAGACACTTAAATATTTGCCATCAAATTGTTTGGAGAATTTGAGCCGATTTTGGTTATATCCTTACCATATATTAATAGTACAGGCATTACTTCCCATTGATTTTCCAAGGTGTGTGACATTCTGTCAGCGGTACCTTCAAAAAATTACACAAAATCCGTAATTTGAATCAATAAATCTGTTCACGGACGAAGCTAATTTTTCTTGAAATGCCATTCAGAATTTCCACAATAATCATGTGTGGGCAGAAGAAAATCCCTATGCCGTAACCGAAACCCATTTCCAACACCAATTTTCGGTTAACGTATGGGCAGGAATTATTGGCAACCACACTTTACTGGCCCATTCTTCTTACCTGGACGAATGGACGGACATACTTACCTTTTGTTCAACAACAGTTGCCTTTGCTGCTTGATGATGTTCTGTTAGTAATAAGAAACAATATGTGGTACATGCATGATGGTGCACCAGCGCATTTCAGTGTAGCGTTTCGTAATTATTTACAAACTCCCCCAGACCTCAACAGTTTGGATTTCTTTTTGAGGGGCTATCTTAAGACACTAGTCTACACAAGTCCCATTGACACTGTAGGGGAATTAAGAGAAAGAATAGTTGCAGCTTGTGATAGAATAAAAAACAATCCAGGGATATTTCAACGAGTGCGCAATACCATGAGAAGGAGGGTGGAAGTATGCATACTAAGTGAATTTCGTTGGTTTCAGTGTTATGCTTATTTTGTCAGTTGTTGTTGTTCGTTACCCCTAATATGTTTAATTTTTCCAATTAAATTAATAATAATTTTGCAAGCTAGACAATAGAGCGGTTTTTATATTTTTCTCAAAAATGGCGTATCGAAGGAAAACAACTCGAGAGAGATCATTTGTTTTAAATTGAACGGGGAATTCAAAAATAATTTCTGTTTGGCAAAAAACCGTTGGCGTACCATATTTTTCTTAAAAAATATCGAAGTCAATACCCATACGCACGCCACTGTTTTAGCTAAAAATTAATTTGCACCAAAAAATAAGCAACTCTATTAACTTTCAGTACGTACTAAATATCAGTGAAATATCTGAAGCGGTTCTGAAAATGTTAATTAATTAATTATATTTTTCCTAAAACTTCAACGTCCCTAGTTTTTGAAAGGAAACATTTTTGGTCCATCGTTTATAAAGCAAATTATCACTAATTTTTTATGTATATTCACGCCCTTAAATATTCGCATATCATTGAGTAACACCCTGTTTACGCACCATGGAAAAATCAGACAAAAACTCTTAAGGATACTCCTCCAGAGAGGCTGCTGAAAAAGGGCACATGCGATGATAAGCGTCTACAGGTATACCGTTGGATCTTCGCTGTTCCTGATTCAAGAGCCATAGATCAAAATGCAAAGCAGTTAATTCAAAACATTGCAAAACACCGTTCGAATGCATAATATGTGTTTCGCAGCAAGATTGCGACTTTAGGTGCGTAACACCTCGTATATCTTGCACAGAGCGCTAACCTGTTATTTCCTCTATAAATCATGGGCAAAATAGCGCGAGACATTCGTAAAAGTTGCAAGTCAAGCAACATTCACAATTTGAGAATAATATTACTCTTCCATGCAGTACGTCGTGCATACCAAACACATTTATCTCCAAGCTTCTACGATATATTGCTATGTGATGTATTTAATCTCTCTAATATGTTTTCTTGTTGGAGTTGAGCGTCGTTCTGAGCTAAGATTCACGTGTAGCAGGGGTAGCAGTGGGACGGCGAATACTGGCAACTTTGACCCTTTATGCCGACCCCGTTATAACAGTTTTTGTAGATTAGGTCTTGAGTAGTGATAATTGTTTGTTTATGTTATTATTAGTTTTTATGTCAAATCTGTACTCTACTATATCTGGGATCCTCTAAGGTTTTGTGTCATGGGCTATTAGTAAATTTGGATCGTCCTCATCAGCTTACCAATAACTTGACACGCAGTCAAAATCTTCCGACTTAGTTTATCTGTTTATCTAAGCTCCACTCAAGTTTTTAATATTTCTGGTGCTACAAAAACCTGGATGTGGAGCTCCAGCAAAGCTTAAAGTTGACCTTAGTTTATGTGGTCTATGTGTCAAGGCAAGCTGCTTTTCAAGACATAACTGAAAGGTATATTTTCAAAACCTTTTCTAAGCCCATTTGAACGATTTATGTAACTTATGTAACGTTTCATCAAATCAATCCAAAACTAACCAAAAGATATGTAACAGGCTAATGAAGGTTTATCTAAGAGAATGCATCTCAAACATCTCCCAATCTTGATTCGTTAGAAGGAGATGGGGTTAAGAAATTGGAGTAAAGATTGAGAAGCGCCAAATATACAGGGTGTTTCAGACTAAGTGATCAAACTTCTAGGGGTTATTCAGTGTAACAGTATAAAACATTTGAGTATAGGGACCCATATCCGGGAGAGTGTCACTATAATTGTTCAAAATGTATTCCTCCAACCTGAATTCATCGATTTAAACGTCGCACATGATTTCGGCGGACTTGACTACAAATTTGATACCCGTTTTGAATGATTTCAAATGCTGCTGTAATTCGTCCAATTAAGTCTTGCTCTGTTTCTACTGGAGCTTCGTAAGCCATCGACAAAATTGAACTCTGGGATGATAATTGGCTGCAGTCAATCCTTGAACTTTCTGGAAGTGGTAACGATAAAGTTGTTCATGTAATAAATAAAACCATTAAATTCCAGTATATTGTTTGTATATTATATGTGTAAAATTAGTGTAACACAGGGCATTTTCACAACCATCCTACTTATGTAAGGCTGGGTGTTAACGGTCATTTGATCGAGGATTTGTCCTTTTTGCCAACAAGATTGTGTGTATTTTCTATAATACAGTAAATATAATGTTTTTTTTTTAGTTTTTGTTCTTTGGCAAATAATTGTATTTTGAATTTGAATTTGAATTTGAATTTGAATGTAGCATCTGCCAGACGGAAGCGTTACTCGTATTCATATCCTCAGCAATGTGACGTGTGCTACTTGATGGTTCGTCGGCAAATCACTGAAGGACCTCTTCTTCAAATTCGACCGTTCCTACGGTTCGAGCAACACCAGTATCATGCATGTTGGTTTTAAACATGCCGATGAGTAGCAATAAATTTTTTGTATCTCGGATGCTGTCTTTCGGGATAACGTTCTTGATACAATCGCGCTGCTGCTCGTGCATTGCAGCTTGTTGCTCGGTATGCCAAATGCATATCCGCCGATTCTTGATTGGTAAAGTTTTCCATTAGCAACAATTAATTTTTGTTAAAGTCTTGCAAACTCCTTAAATACGATAGCACGACTAAGGCGATATGGAATGCAGCTACAAAAAACAATCTCTGTTATCGTTTTTAAAGATAACAACACACAAGCGCTGGATATGGGTCCCTATACTCAAATGTTTTCTACTGAATAACCCTTACAAGCTTGATCCCATAGTTCTGAAACACCATGTATTCTCAATACTATACGGCCTATTGTGATTTTATAGCAGTTGTAAAAGTACTTTTGATGCTCAGATATATCGTGCAGCTGCTCGAGGTTAGCAAAAACTTAATGTAAGGAAAGCTATTGAAAGGCGTTTTTACCGACTTGAAAGCGGATAGTATAAGTAAGATTGTATAATAGACTAGTAAAATATACTAAGTGACATATAAATCCGAACACCCAGTTTAAATGGTTTTATTTTAATAAAATTTTGTATAAGTACTTAATGAAGCATAATAAGTAAATGATAAAAATTTCAAAATGATTGCACTGCTTTAAAGCCCTTTGACCTTTAATAATGTGTGGACGCACCCTGATGTGCTACGCATTCTACAACGCGCCTAGGCATGCTTCTGATCAGGTGGTCAATGTCCTCCTGTGGTATCTCATTCCAGGCAACCACCAACTCCTCTCGAAGTACTTCTAGAGTCTGAGGAGGACGTTGCAAATTGAGCAATCTCCTATCCATCGTATCCCACACGTGCTCAATTGGGGATAAGTCGGGAGATCTTGCGAAGATCAGTAATATAGTTCGAGATATTTGTACCTACATACACCTGTATTCTCACCCATGAGTCAGATTATTTTATGTTTTGGCTCATGCAGCAAAATTCCTAGCGTCGGCCCATGAACCACTCTCAGAATGTTCACCAATTACCAGTTGCTTACCATCTTCTCCGAGTAGCTTTTACATGTGTGCGTTACGATGAAAAATAAAATAATAAATACGCCAAGAAAATATCCTCCACCAAGTTTTATATATTTCTTATAAACTGCTTTTTCTACCTTCCCCGACTTTTTTTCTTCGCAGTATACGTTAGGCTTCTGTTTTGAATCTAACAATTTAGTAGACTCGTCCGCTTCGTCATAATGTCCAAGTGTCACATCACATTTTTCTTCCATCACCGGTTCTGCGTAATTAAGCTTTGTTACTTTTTCCCAAAATAATTCACCAACTAATTTTTCATAAAGAGGGGCAGAACAAATTGCTGAATCTCTCGTTCATAGAATATACTAAGTGACATATAAATCCGAACACCCAGTTTGAATGGTTTTATTTCAATAAAATTTTGTATAAGTACTTAATAAAGCATAATAAATAAATGATAAAAATTTCAAAATGATTGCACTGCTTTAAAGCCCTTTGACCTTTAATAATGTGTGAATGCACCCTGATGTGCTACGCATTCTCCAACGCGCCTAGGCATGCTTCTTTCTGATCAGGTGGTCAATGTCCTCCTGTGGTATCTCATTCCAGGCAACCACGTGCTCAATTGGGGATAAGTCGGGAGATCTTGGTGGCCATGGAAACAATGTGACATCATTATGTTGAAAGAAGTCTATTGTGACTCTTGCAACATGTGGTCGGGCATTATCTTGTTGGAAAGTTGGATCTGCCAGGGTGTCAAGATAGGGTAAAAGATGGGGTTCTAGAACTTCGTGGATATAATGCTGCGCGTTCATGTTACCTCTGATGAAGATTAATGGTGACCTGGAACCATAAGCTATAGCACCCCAAACCATAACTCCAACAGTGTGATGAACATGTCTTTCAACAAAAAACTGTGGATTCCTCCTTTCACCACGTCGCCTTCTAACCCTGGCACGACCATCGTGCATGCCTAAACAAAATCGAGACTCGTCACTAAAGACAATACTGTTCCATTCCTGATCCCAGAGTGACCGTTGTCTGCACCACTCAAGGCGATTACGTCGGTGTTCTCGAGTTAAAGGGATGACCCAGTGTGGCCGGTATGAAAACAAGCCAATACTTCTCATTCGTCGGTAAACACTTCGCATGCCAATAGGTCTTCCGTGTTCTGCAAACCATTCATTTTCAATGGACCTGGTAGTGGAGAAGCGGTCCCTTAAGGCCAATAATCTTAGGCGGCGATCTTCACGGTCTGTTGTTCTACGGCGGCGTCCAGTGTCCCTTGCTCTTTGCGTACGGCCTTCTCGAAGCCATGCCTGACAACACCTAACCACAGTGTCTACACTTCTTTGCACTCTAACTGCAATTGCCCGAAAAGAAAGTCGAGCTTCCCGAAGTCCCACTATACGGCCCCTATCAAATTCACTAAGTTGACGAAATCGTACAGGTCTCCGTACTCTAGGCATCGTAACCGATCGTAAAGGATGTCAAGAACCAAAATCCGCCAACGTTGATTCTTTACTGCGGCTGAAATATTCATTTTTAGAGCGTTAGTGAATTAAAAAAAAGCAGTATAAAAACCGGAATATCCAACTGATAAGGCTGAAAATTTTTTCACTTGTTATTTACAGTAAGATAAATACATTCACGAACTTTTATTAGAATAAAACCATTTAAACTGGGTGTTCGAATTTATATGTCACTTAGTATATGGTTTTATCTGTGTACTGACTCCACTCTCGGTTGTAATTTAATATTCTACATGCATTTGATTTATAATCCTCATAAAACCTTGTCTTCCGTAGGTGCTGGCTAATTTAATCAAACTTGTCAACGTGTATTTTTTTCATTTTCGATTTTCGCGCCAATTTTCTTCCAGGAGATCTTTAAATTGACGGCAATTACTATATTAAATCAGAGCCGACTGATTATTTAGCTTTATTCACCCAAGCAACAGAATTACGCAATTAAATATAGAAATTATCATGCCAGTTAACAAAGCTGTATTGACGAGGGGGAGAAAAACTGCCTTGTAACGTGAACGAATCAAGCGGATGGGATGGCGCGACCCATCAACTATAAATTTTAATTTCGGAAATATCCGATTACACTGGCGTATGCCATGAGGAGTTGCGTCAGAGCAAACAAAAGTTTTGCAAGTAACAGTGATCATTTGACCGTGATTTAGCGGAAAACGATGCAACTGTTGAAGATACAATCGTTAGGGAGATAGGGGAAGTCAGATGAGAATAGATGAACTTTTGCTGCACAACTCAATGTTACAATGATGCAGATGTATTTTCAGATATGATTTGCACGCTGCGTGTTTCGAAGCAGGCTTTCTTGTATAAGGAATAATAACTTTAACGATCCCCGGATCAAAATTAAATAACCAGAAGGCGTCTTTGAAGTAATGGAACAAGTGAGTCCAGCCTGTTTCCTTTACTTGATAAAAGGAGGTCCTCTAGCGCTCATGCCAAATCAAGAAATCCATTATAAATCTCCTGGTTCAGCTACACAAATCCATCATTTCATTTTATCGGGGTTCAACATTTGAACCCCGGATCAAATTTTGAGGTAGACCAATCAGAACGGAATTGATCAGAGCTCGAACTATGGATTCCTGATAAAATAGCAAATACGATAGCTACTACTGAACCGATATCGAAAATAAAAGCGTCTTCACTACTTACTTGAGAGAGATAATTTTGGGAAAAGATAGCGTCAAGTAGACTGACTCTATGTTTCGTTAGATGTTTCAAAGCAAGGTGATTAGTCATGTCGTTTCAAAAGGCGGAATCTAATCGTGAGTAGGTACGTTGAATCTTCAACCTCTACATATCAAACTATATAAACATATTTGTTATGTTATGTCTAAAACGTGCAAAATATTATCGGGATCAGTAGCTCCTTAATAAGAGAAGATCTTTCACTGACACCAAACAATTTACAACCATACATACAAAGGTTTTTCGTCCTTGGCATAGTCGGAATATTACTCAAAAAATACATTTTGGTAAAATCTATTTATGGGATGTTATGCATGACATTTGAGTGCACATTTCTAAAATATTGGTCATTATAGAGGGTGCCCCAATTTCGACCTACATACCAAATTTGTGATTTTTCAATTGGAATGCCTCAAATTTTATTGCATATTTGGATATACCAATTCAAAAGAAGAAAACTGATTTGAAATACTCTGGGGCTTTGGTAATGAGCTACTGAGGTGTAAGGTGTTTTGTCTGGCAAAACCGCCCACCTCGGCAACCCCTCGGTCCACCCTTTTGAAATTTGGAGTGCTGAATTTTGTATCAAAAAAAACTTACACACCTCGGCTTTCATTTAATTTGTTACTTTTTCGAATTTTAATTTTGCTGGTCAAAAACGCGAATTGTAGTTTTTCTCAAAAATTTAAAATGCCTCACCCTGTATTTGTGCAAGTTTGGATTCACTTTTCTATAAGCTTTTTGTTGATGCTAGACACACAAAGGTTTTTACCGATATTTTTTCGGTTATTAGCACATCTTTTATGGAATGGCTTAATTCCGTAAAATGTTGCATAATCCTTGGCAACAAATAAATTGTTGGTTAGTTACAAACTGTCAAAATTAGCTTTGTGAGCATTATAATAAAAACGTGTTGCACGGGCCTCTGTTTCCCCATATGTTTGGCAGGCAGACCGTCTGGCTCTGGACGATATCCGTATAAAAATGAATATTGGCAAGAATCGTATTTATGATCAGAGTATTTCTGTTCGCTTGCAGCGTGTGCATATTTGTTTTGGGAACAAGCACATCAGTGTCTTTAATATATTTGAGATCAGGAAAGCTTCTCATCAGCTGTCCGGTGTTGCCATATCAAGTTGTTGAATGAAGTGTCTTGTTTTCAGAACCAACTAATATGATATGAAACAACACTGCTTGTTTGATAATACTATAATCAGTCTAATCATATTAGCAAATTTCCCCTAAATAATTGTAGAGTCTGGTTTTTTTGGTCCAAGTTGTTCGGGGGGAATTTAAAAGATGGACGCATAGAATGGGTACATCAATTTTTGTGGGAAAACGTTTTAGTTGACAATAAAGGATGAGACATTGCGTTTCTTTGGGGATGCAATCGAAAGTGTTGGAAGAAACGAAAAAATTCTGGACGTAAGGTTTTTAGGTATTTATGAGACCTACAAAATGATACCCCACGTAAAAAGATCTGACTAATAGCAGAAATGTTATGGCCGAAAAACGAGGGAAACGCAGGTTTTGGTACTGGTTTTTTGCTCTAAGTTGTTCAGGGGGGTACTTAAAAGATATACGCATAGAATGGGTACATCAATTTTTGTGTGAAAACGTTTTAGTTGACAATAAAGGATGAGAAATTGTGCTTGTTTGGGGATTCAATCGAAAGTTTCGGAACAAACGAAAAAATTCTGGACGTAAGGTTCTTAGGTATTTATGAGACCTACAAAATGATACCCCACGTAAAAAGATCCTACTAATAGCAAAAATGTTATGGCCGAAAAACGAGGGAAACGCAGGTTTTGGCACTTGTTGGTAATGTGACGATAATTACACGCAGCTACTTGAAATTATTTAAATCCATAGAATTCATACTTCTAAATAACGACAAAGTTATATTGGTCAAGTAGTTTTTTGAGAGTTTCTAATCGCTTATCCCAAAGCTCCTGTTTTTCGGACATCACTGCTAATTTACCGAGCCATATACAGGGTCGTTCAAAGAGCATTTAATAGCAAAATACACGTGTTTACCTCGCCGATATGAATCACAAACCATTCCAATAGATAAATGCTATTTTTATGCGAAAAAGAAAAGTTACGTGTTTTTCTTCTACACAAATTCAAACATTTCGTATTTGTGAGTAATTGAACAATTGCGCTACGATACTCGAAAAACATACATTACTATACACATTTTAAAACAAATAGAATGTGCCAATCATCTGTTGCGAATTACTCACAAATCCGAGATGTTTGAATTTGTTTAGACGAAAAAACGTAACCCATTCTTTTTTAATTTTCTCACACAGAAAATATTACTGATGATATACACATAACTCAGACCAATACACATATTGATCCAGACGCGACCTTGCTGTGCAACCAATTTTATTTCTTTCTCATCTCAGAGATAAACACTACAGACTCCTCAGCTTCGTAAAACATATACTTGCTTTCTGTAACCAGCAATGCGTGCAGTTGACTCGTTCCTACATAGATGGACGCTAACAGCGATCATAGAGAG